CAGATGCAGGCTCCATGTAGGCAGCATGCCTCCTGGGATGTCATGGCATTCTTGGAGGATGCTGCAGTGTCTCTCTTGCTAGAACAGTTGCTATTGGTCAATCACAACAGCTCCAATGTCATCTTTAAATTAAATTAATGGAGATATCCCATCTCCTAGAACTGGAAGGGACCCTGAAAGATCATCGAGTTCAGCCCCCTGCCTTCATTAGCAGGACCAAGTACTAATTTTGCCCCAGATCCCTAAGTGGCTCCCTCAAGGATTAAACTCACAACGCTGGGTTTAGGAGGCTAATGCTCAAACCACTGAGCTATCCCTCCACCTCTTGTTACTCTCCTGTCCTATCTAGCTTCTTGGTACATCCTGAAAGGATGTAAACTATAGCACAGTCATCCTAATTCAGATGGGTTTGTGAGTAGAAAATTATAACCTACTCACAGGGCCTCCAAAACACACTTGGGCTTGAAACGTAGTGACTCCCCCTGCCTTCCTCAACTTCTCCTTATTGTTCACTCCTTATTGTTCAATTGTCATTGTCCACAGAATTGAGTGTCTAAACTCACCTGTTAATTTGTGCCGAGAATGTTTGAACCTTGTGGTTTATTGTAACACAAATCATTGCTAACATGCTCCATTGGAACAGCTGTAACTTATGAAACAAAGGGGCCGGATTACATCAAGGTGCTTTAGCACAAACCTCCTATTCCTTCCCCGAGATAAAGGGCCTTATTGATATAATTTTGTGAACAAAAGGGTGTCTTGTCAGCCAGAACAATGGCCAAATCTTAAAAGCAAAGTCTATAGCTGTACAGTTCTTTGAAGTGAGGTAGAAAAATCGCCTCTGTTGATGCAAGTCATTCAGATTTCATTACTCTCATCGGCCGTGCTCTGCTTCCCCGGGCTTCTGGGTTTTACTCGCTCACCCAAGGAAACATCTCACTACAGAAAATCCAAGCACTGGAGACAGATCTTTGGCTGGTGTAAATTGTTGCAATTCCGTTGAACTTCATCTCAGGGAGCCATGAGCGCAATGTGACTCCGAATTGAAACTCGTGGCACCATGCTGCTCGACACCAGCTCAGGATCTGGCTTGTAGCTTTAGATTCACCTTTCTGACCAACTCAAAGGCTGTGTCTATACAGCAATCACAGGGTCTGACTGCAGCCTGTATAGACATAAACAATCTGGCTTTGATCTAGCTAGCTCAGGTACCAGGGCAGTGAAGTTGTGGCAGTGCAAGCTTCAATGCGGGCTACCCAAGCCTGCCTGGAACCCTGTATAATTAGTCACAGGGCTAACCCATGCTGATGGCTTCACTGCTCCAGGACCTGAGCTAGCTAGATTAAAACTAGCTCAGGTATATCTAATGAGCTTCAATTACATCCCTAAGGGCAGGTCCACACTAGGAGCACTTTACCTGGGATAGCCTATTTTAGCCCCCACTTCTCTCCCTCTGAGTGAGATAAACTGTACCAGCAAAAGCACTGTTTTGCCTGTATGATGTGCATCCACACTAGGGGCTTTTGCTAGCACAGCTGTGTCGGTCAGAAATCACACCTCATCACACTCCTGACCAACTTACTTGTGCTGGAAAAGGTTGTAGTGCAGACTTGGGCTAGCTGGCTGGGAGAGTTGAGTGGGTTTCTCCTGACTGTGCAGCAGTATTTTGAGAATATCTGAAAACCCCTTTCCTTTGGCGGGTAATTTCATAGGCTGGTAGAAAAGCAGCTGTTGGTGGTTCACAGCTCACATTTCCTTGAGAAGTGTAAAATCCCAGCTGGACATCATGATGATAGATTTTATAGATTTTTCTCCTCTCGCAGCCGCTAGGCAGTTAAAATCTACAGTAGACTACAGTGGATTTCTATACGTTTAACTTCTTGAGATAATCCATTCGCCTTTGTTCTTTGAGAACTTACTGAATAAGCCACTTGTTTCACTCTGGCGAGGAAATAACACTTTGGGGGCCTCGTCTCTGCCTGTCTTATATATAACAGAAGCATGGAGTTTTATAAAGTATAATAAATACCCAGGTCTGCCAGATGTTAGATTTTCTTTTTTTCCTACTAGAAAGGAGGTCAGATTTTTTAATTCCAGACTTCAGCTGACTGCAAATAATATGGGGACTGTTTCTAAAAGGCATGTTCTGACAGTGTAAATAATCACATCTTAGATGGAGTTAAATATAGAAATGCCATATAAGTGGGGATAAATTTTGCTCAGTAAAGTGTAATATTTGTCTCAGCAGGAATAAGATCATTGTGAAATGCTGTGTGTTTATTATTTGCATGCTGTTTTATGCTGTTGTACAGGCATTACCAGCAACCAGTGATGCAGTGGGGAATGCCAAAGAGGAGCTGGTCTAGTTTCCCCTGAGTTTGGGGGCTACTCAGTAGGGACCAGTGGCAAAGTTCTAATAGACCAAATTCAAACCTGATGTAACTGTGGTCAAATTCAGTGGCACAAGCTGCAGACCAGGTGTCAGTGGTAATTGGTAAAATAGTGTAACATGCACCAAATTGGCATTCAGTGGCTGTGAATGAAACATAAGACAAAAGATCAAAAATGGGACATAAACATGGCAGGAAAAACAACTAAGAGGAGGGTGTAAGGAAAAAGTAGGGATGTGTGTGGCACTCATTTTGCACACCCAGTGAATGTCACGTTCTTTAACTCTACACTTCTTTATCACTTCTACCCAGTTTCTAACTGACTTACATTACTGTGCACCTTGGCCTTGCACTGACAGTGCCTGCATCTGTGATAGCCCTATTAGAGAGACAGTAAAAAGGGTCCAGGGGAGAGAATGGGAAAAAGGGATGAAAGAAAGGCCAGTGGAATGAATGGGGAAATTGCTGATAGAGTGGAATAGACAAAATGCACCATGGTGAACAGTTCTGATTTTCATTTGCTGGGACTGAGTAGGGTGCTGTGGCTGCCAGGAAGTGGCCCAGGCAAGTCGAGGCAAAGGAATGCAGTAAGTGACTGTGATTCAGAGGGTCCCTGGGTCAGGGCCTGGACTGGAGTAGTGGGGCAGGCGCAGGTCCCCGCACTCACTACTGGAGATGTGGCTGGAGAGTTGGACTGCAATACTAAATCCGAGAAGTGGGGAGCACAAATGGTGACATGGCCGGATGGCCGTGTCACAAACAGGATGCTGCAGTCCCAGGAGTGATGCGGGTCAGAGAGCAGATGTGACGGCGGGCGAGGCACCATCGGGAGAGGGCGTACCAACCTGTGCTGCTAATTCCCAAGACGGCCAGCAGGGGGCACCAGCATGGTGAGTGGAGCCCCAATCACAAGTAGTCTTAGTTTTTAATACATTCAAAATTTCATTTAATGAAGTGTCATTTAAGTTAGAAACAGTGTTGCTTGCCATCAAAGTGCTGCTCCAAGCAGGCGCAGTTCTTGCTCATATAGCAGAGTCTCAATTGTAACTTTATCTTCTCCACCTTGGTCTCAGCCCCATTAAACTTAATCACCATCATATACTGTTACCATTCAGCTAATGAAAAATAGTTATCTCCGAAGGTAAAGTGTTATTAAGGGGTAGTATATAACACAATAAGCTTTTGTTCCTTCATGCTTTTTTTCATTCTTAATATATATTAATTTTGCACTGAGGGGACAGACCAAAGGTGCTTATGAGACAGAGGAATCCCATGCAGAAAATAAGGAACATATTCATGTAAAAATCTATAGTGGCTCCTGGTCCCACACCATGAATCACCAGAAATGTCTGACTAAGCTAAGGAGCAACTGGGGAAATATTACCCAGTAGGAGAAATAGAAAAGTTGCTTCCACTTGGAATTGCCCCACGTCTGTTATTTAATTAAAAAAAATGGAAAGGGGAAGCAGTGTACTTACAGCCCTATACAGTACACTCCCTGCCAGTGCAGTGTGTGTGTGTGTGTGTGTGTGTGTGTGTACATGTATATCAGTGGTACCCAAACTTTTCCAGTCACCTCCCCCCTTACCGGTAATGGAATCTATCCGTGCCCTCTCTCCATTGCTGCACAGTTGGCTCAGCAGAGGAGGTTGGGCTGAAGGCGGAGCTGGGGGTAGAACTGGGGATGGGAGAGGAGCTGCGGCTGGGGCTGGAGCAGGCCTGGGGATGGAGAGGGAATGAGGGCAGAGCTGGGCTGGGGTGTGTGTGTGGAGGAGGCGGCAGAGTGGAGCTGCAGATGGGGCTGGAGCTGGGCTAAGGGTGGAGAAGGGGGCGGAGTGGATCTTTGGCTGGGGGCATAGCGGGGCTGGGTGGAGCTCTCTCCCCATTCCCCGTGGGGGCTGGCCTGGGCCCCACCACACACTGCCCCCAAATTCCTATGCCTCTCCCCGGGGGGCGGGGGGGCACCCCAACATTTGGGGACCTCTGATATATAAAGAGCTGGTCAGAAATTGGAATTTCTGTGTCACAGGAAATTCTGCTAGTTATAAATTTGTTTTCATTCCAAATTCGGACACAAAAAATCAAAATATTACCATTTTTCACAGAGTAGAAAGTTCAGAAGAATTTGGATTTGAAAATGTCAACATGTTTTGTTTTGACACTTCCAATTGAATGGAAATGTTTTTTGTCATTTCCAAGTAAGAATGTTTTGGTTTGGTTTGTCGAACCAAATTGAAACATTTCATTGAAGCTTGGTTCAACATTAACCTCTCCCTCAACTGGGGTGGTGCCTCATAGAGCTGTAGTTAAAGTGCCTTCTTCTCTAGGAGCTGGGCTCCCCAGCCTGACTACTTCTCCCATAATGCACTGTGGTCACATAATCCCATGATGGACTGCGGCAGTTCAACCAGAGGGGAAAATGTGATACAACATGGGAGATATTGTCCAGCCCGGGAGCTCAGTCCATGGGGGCATGAACCACCCAAACTACAATTCCCATCAGCAACTGTGGCAGCTCAGGGAGAGATAGATTAATGTTTGAACCAAGACAAAATGAAATGTTTTGTTTCAGTTTTCCTTGATAGAAAATGGAAAATTTTCAGCAAAATCGAAATTAAATTTTGATATTGAAAAAGATGCATTTTCTAAAACAAAATAACAAAAAACCACTTTGACAGAAAATTCCTGATAATCTCTAATATAGATCTTTTCACATGCACGTGATTACAATGCATTTATAGCGATATACTTATACTGAAGAGCTATATAAATGCAGTGCATTTAGAGTCATACACATATCGGGTAGGTTTATTATTAACTTCAATGAGAGCACAGTTAGCACAATGATGAGTGTCTCTGAACATCCCACTCTATATATGCTCTAGTGGTAGAAACAGTCTATTTGTATGTTTCAGCATAGTCAGATAGTAAATTATAGTTATATATAGAGAGGGACTCAAGCTGCAAAATTCAGATCCAGATTTCAAACTCTCCTAAAATTCAGGATTGTTAATTTCCAGCCTTTTAGTTTGGCCCATTAGAGAGATCTCAGGCCACCATGAAATCTAGATCCGGATTGTGGTTTGGATTTCAATCTTCCTACTTCATAGTTCAGAGGTGTTTAGGCCTGGGATTTTGGTTCAGACCTATCTCTAGTTATATGGTGTGTACTGAATCTGTATGGACTCCAGGGCACATTCCAATAGTAATATTCTCTTGCTGCCTTTGTGTTTCATCATGCACATCTGTTATAACCTTGCTCTCATTCAGTATATAATTATTCCATGCCTCCCACATAATGGAAGCAATATGCATCATTCTTACGTATCCCATTTTCAGTTGTTTAATATGATCCTGTAAGTTTCCTTCTGTCTTTTGTACATTAAAGACCCAAATAATTAATGAAAGAAGCCAGAGATTTGTGTGTGGAGAAAAAAGAAACAAACCAACCCAACTTAGGCTAATTTTGAAAATGACAGAAGCAATTGCAGTATTGACAATTCCAAACTAGTTTAGGCATTAGGCCGGTGTGATGAAAAAGAAAATCATGTTACCATAATGACTGACACATGAACATTGTTAGCATTTACTCTGAGGTACAGATGTGTGCTCAAGAAACATGCATCCCATAAAAGGTGAGTCTGTTTTGCAGATGTTTTCTCAGGGAAGATGTCGTCCTAATAAGCGGTACATTGTTCCCTCTGTTTAATTATGAATTGAAATGAATGGCTGTTTGAGTTCTAACCTTTCTTTTTCTCCTGCTGAACTTTTCCTTTTCTAGCCTGTCACAAGTGAAGTATGATTATATATATAAAATCATAAACAAGATTATCTTTAAGGGAGTTGATAAATATAAAGGAGAGTTGAAGTGTGTTGTGCTTCTGTTTTCTCTGCAGTTAACTTATTGCTCTTCTGGGAGTGCTTCCAAAAAGTGGCAACTAGTACTTTAATTAAAGAAGGCTCTGTTTACATGTTTCAGCTGTTAGTCACGTAACCAGTCTGTTTATCGTGTGACCACCCTGTCCATACGTAAACAAGGGATGCTCCCTTCAGGTGACCCAAATCCATGTTAACCTAATCCTCCACCACACACTGTCACACATTTATGCAAGCATACAGTATTTGGGACATCTCTGTGCCAAATCCATGAGCCACATCTGACACTCTTTGCAACCCACATATCGGAAGGCAGAATATGGCTAGTGGGATTACATGGGGTTAAGGAGCTGTACGGGCAGGTCACCAAGATGTTCAACCTGAAAAGTCTTTGTTGTCTGAGGGAAGTTCCATTAGTGGGCTCCCCTGAAACAGATTATACTGCTTCATAAGAAAGCCATATCTTGGGGGTGAGGGAGTTAGCCAGTGAAAGACATTCACACTGAAGTTCCTGGAGAGAGAGAAAAAGAGAGTAAAGCAGAACCTGGATATAATCAAATTCTATCCATTTACTAGTAGTCACATAGAGCCTGAGCCAAAGCCCATTGAACCCAGTGGAAAGACTCATTGGGTTTTAGATCAGGCCCATATTGCATAAATGGGGAAAAAACAACAACCAAATTCAGTTTGAAAACATTAAGGGCCAGGTACTCAGCTGGTGTAAACCAGACTAACTCCACTGAGCTATGCTGTTTTACACCAGTTGGGGATCTAGCCGTATGTTTAAAAGAGAGTTTATGGATTATATTTATGTGATGCTAAGTTACAAACTATAACACAACCACTGACATCCTGTTAAGAAAATTGTCACATGGCCTTGTACTTTATGATGATAACATTAGAACCTCCAGAAATCTAGTTTCTTGTGGAAAAGTGAATCCATCACACAAACCTCTGTTACATAGGTCCTTAGTGTAATATCTTGGATTGGATTCCTCTTTACACAACTCTGGCAGTGTAAACGGGCTTTAAAAGGGATGGGACTATAATTTACACCCGCTTTAAGGCCAGTTTACACTGCTAGGGAGATGTAAATGGGCCTTAATGCAAATGAGAATCAGGCCTTGGATTTCCACAGAGTGGAATAAAAGCCGACACTGTTGCTGCAGCAGCTTTGTTGCGTGACTGCGGTTGTGAATATCATTACTAATGTCCTCATTTAGCTATGAAGTGGGACATCTGACTTTGAACTAAAGTACTTAGACGAAAGCTCTTCACTTGGCACTAGCTCACCCTTTGTTTCCTGTGCATACCTCACAGATGGGTAGGATTACTCAGAGCCTCCCGGACCATCATCCTCAGGACTTTTTTCCCCCCAAGCTGTCTTGCTTCCCTCCCTCTTCTGCCCCCGCTCCCCGATAAACATTCCTTCTGCTGTATTTGTGTAGCGCTCCTATGCCATCCTGTGTTGTCAGGGTCATTTACAATGTACTGTATAACACACACATATTGATATAATAGACCTTTTTAATTTAAAGGAGTCAAGGCTGACCCAGTGCATTGTGGGTGTCTCAGCTTCAGAGTGTTGAGGGGCTCATGTCGAACAGCAGTGACAGAGCAAGGCTGGGGGAGTGTTTCTGGGTCCTGCTGCAGAAGAAATGGGCGTGCTGGTCACTCTCCCAGAAGATGCTTGACTTGCCATTGGGTGGGAGGAAAGGACTCACTAGGTTGACTCCCAGGGTTGCCAACCCTCCTGAATTGGCCGGGAGTCTCCTGGAATTGGCCTCAATCTGTTGGTTGCTATTGAAAACAATCTGGGAGATTTTAATAGGCCAAAAGTCTGGTTGGTGGCACAGTGGGGCTAAGGCAGGCTCCCTACCAGCCCTGGCTCCGCGTGGCTCCTGGAAGTGGCCGTCACGTCCAGCTCCTCTAGGCGCAGGGGTGGCCAGGGGGTCTTTGCGCACTGTCCCCGCCCCGAGTGTGGACTCTGCAGCTCCCATTGGCCAGGAACTGCAGCTAATGGGAGTTGCGGGGGTGGTGCCTGCAGGCAGGGGCAGCACGTGGAGCCGCCTGGCTTCCGCTGAGCCTAGGATCCACAGGGACATGCCGGCTGCTTCGGGGAGCCGCCTGAGGTAAGCACTGCCCAGCCGGAGCCCGCACCCCTCCCATACCCCAACCCCCAGCCACCTCCTGCACCAAACTTCCTCCCAGAGCCCACACCCTGAACACCCTCCCGCACCCCAACTCCCTGCCCCAGCCCTGAGCCCCCTCTCTCACCCAAACTCCCTCACAGAGCCCACACCCTGAACCCCCTTCTGCACCCCAACCCCCTGCCCCAGGCTCAGCCCAGAGCCCCCCTCCTGCACTCCAAACCCCTCGGCCCCACCCCCCAGCCCAGAGCCTGCATCACTTCCTGCACCCCAACCCCCTGCCCCAGCCTGGTGAAAGTGAGTGCGGGTTGGGGAGAGCAAGCGACTAAGGGAGGGGGAATGGAGTGAGCAGGGAACGGGGCCTCAGAGAAGGGGCAGGGCAGCGGCATGGCCCCGGGGAAGGGGAGGGGCAAGGATGTTTGAGTTTGTATGGTTAGACAGATGGAAACCCTGTTGACTCCTCCCTGCAGATACAGAGGAAGCCAGCTGTCTCCTGAAGGCATTTGTGTGTGGGTGTGAAGGCACTTGGAAGATGGGGTGATGGGCACAGCATGAATACCTACGTGGATAGGATTCTAGAACTCTCCACAAAAGGCACCATAAGGCAAGGAGATGGGGACTGTGTGTCTACGGAGACCTGTGGAAGGAAGGGAAATTGAGAGAGACACCTGGGGATAGGGAGTACTAGGGAATGGCTGGACTTTCACCAGCTTCCCTCAGGAGGGTGAGATGGGTGGGAAGTGTCACGAGCTCTTGTACGAACATGCCAGAACCTCAAGGAAGCTTACTGTGCTTGTGTGGGCACATGGGCCTTTATCTGGACCACTTTGTCCAGCCCTCATGAGCTTTCAGAAGCCCACTTTCTATTCTAGTCTAGTCTTTTGTTTTGTTTTGTTTTTTAAACCGTGCTTATCACTGTGGTATTGGAGCGTGTGGGCTCAGCAGCCTAGCAAGCCTTGAAACATAACCCCCTTTTTTTTTGTAAAGGGGATCCTGCCTAGCAAAGAGGTCTGCCCCAGCTCTCTCTAGTGGAGGATGCCACGTCATGAGCCGCAGATAATTTTAAAGAAGTGACTTGTGGCTTTTGTGCACCCTTCTTTTGTGTAGCTCCTGTTTGCTGTAATAGCAGTAGGATGTGCTGGGCTCCCTGTTTGTGTAGCCGGGGAGTTTTCATTGTCAGATTTCTGTCTTCATCAAAAAAGCAATGTGTTTTTCTCAGATACGGCGATTTGTGTGTGCTGCGTTTACGCAGGCCCCATTGTTAATGTGGCCCAAAGCCCAGCTATTGTAATCTTGTTTGCTCATGACGTCTGTTGCTCTCTCTCCTATCACCTGGAAATATGAGGAGTGCAGAGCCCTTTTCTTTCACCCTCAAATGCTCTACTCCTTTCAGTGACGCCATCTGTTCATTTGGACCTTGGCTCTTTTCTCTAATGTGATTTATCAGTTTTCTGCAGTCTGGTTTCTCCTGGGGGTCATACAGCTACTGCAGTCCTCCTATCCCTGGTGCCACTTTCCAGCTTTAATACTTGATTGTTTACTTCATAGACACGAGTTTCTTTTGCAGGAAAGTTCCATAAATCACTTTTCCAGTTTCTCTGACTTTTTTTTGGCTTACCAGGTAGTTTGCATTTTCCTCACACATTTCTGAGAGAATTTTGTTTGTCCTGGCCTCTTTGAAGTGCATGCTTAAGAAGCAGCAATACCAGTTTGTGCTGTGCTCTCATTAGACTTTAAAAAGTAAGTAGGGCTGGGCTGGGTTAGTATTTGCATTGGAGACCTCTAGATGTTGCATATACCACATGCCAGGTAATAACATGAAAGGACCCCATGCTTGTAAAACTAAACTGGCTCTTTATTAAGAGAATTCTGTACAGAGATGCTGCAACTTCAGTTAGCATTCCAGCCATATGCACATAGACTGACTTCCTCCAAACTCTTCCCTCCTGCAACCTGTGCTCCTCTCTCCAAATTCCATCATCTTTCCTTTCAACAATCTTTTTGTTGTGTCTTTTATGCAACTGTTTGGCCTGCTAGGGCCAGATGTCACTAGTACATAGCTCACTCTGGAGACCTGGCCTTGACTGCTATCCCATTGCAGCTTGTTAGGCCTCAAAGTCTCAAGTGTGTTGGTCTTCGAACCAGTCTCTGACTTCTTGTTTGTGTTGTTGCTATTGGTGGGGGACTTGCTTCCACCCTGTTGCTACCTTCATTCTGTTGGGTGGTATCCCTATTGGATGGTCCTCTCTATTGCTCATATACCTCATTTCTTCTGACTCTCCTACATCAGCCCTGCTTAAGGCTGAGGTTTTGTCTATATCTCTTGATCATGGCTTTTCCCCTCTCTGTCCGGGTCTGCCATCTCGCTGCCACTGCTCCCCAGTTGTCTTTGGTTTCACAACCACTGGTGTCTTGAGTCTGTAGCTACCCTTGTATGATCTGTGTCCTGCTGCAGCTTGGACTGCTGCCTTTTGCCATTGCTTTGTGCGGCTATTCGATGGTTGGATCCATCATGTGCATCTGTTCATAGTAGCCTCAGATTCTTGGTTCCTCTGTTGTAGCAAAGTGCCTGCTTAACTTGCCATTCTCTTAACTGCTTCTGTGTCCTGTCCATCATTCCTCCACTGGGCCGCAGCAGACTATCCCTTATGGGAAGCGGAGTTTTGGTTCTCCAGTCCATCAGTCTCAGTGCTGCGGTCCCTGGGAGTGTTTATAGTGATAGTCCACCATTGCCAGGTAGGGTTCCATTCTTGTCTGTTTTACCTTTCCCACCAGGCTCTTGGCCACCATTACTGTTGGCTCCGCCTTCCTGTTACTTTGTGGGTATCCAGGGGAAGACATCTTGTGGTCAAATTTCTATTTGATGCTGAATCATTTTAACCCTGCTGCAGTGTATTGTGGCTTTTGTCTGAGTATAGCGTATCTAAGCTATGTGCCTTCGGTTTCCTGATCCCAGTTCTTGCCTGAGTGTCCTACAGACTGTCCACTTCCCAGAAATCGGAGCAGTAATCTATTCTGACTGTGTAGTTCCTGTCATTAAAAGTGACCAGGTGACCAGGTCTGTGCTGACCTTTCTCCTGGGTCAGGTAGGGATTTCATGAGGATGTAGAGGCTCCTTCTGTTGTCAATCACTATAGTCTTTGCACATCTTATACTGTTCCATGTATGCTCTCAATTGGACACTCAGAGCTGTCAGTAGATACACTCTATGGCTCCTCTCGGGCATGCTTGTACAACCAGTTGTGAAGTACGTATCTGTCTCCTGATGTCAGCTCTTAAATCTGCTGGGATTACTGCTCAGTCCCTGTCCAACAAAATCCCATCTTGCACATACTGCCCATCTCTCATCTGGTAGTAGGGGGCTCTGGTCTAGGAAAGGACAAAGTGGTTGCACACCTGTTGTGCCAGAGTCTAAACTCCTGTGTGTGAAGATCCCTGAATCTCCTGTGGGGGGTGGGGGTGGGGGCTGGGGGGGGACTGCCTGCCTCCCAGGAAACATCTGAATGTCCCGAAGTGTCTCCAGGAACGTATTTTCCATCCATTTGGTTAATACAAGGCTGGCCACCTACCCACCCAGAATGTCTGGAAACAGCCTGTCTCAGAATAACTGTCAAACCCTTGTCTCACCTGTTATCTCTCCCCTGAGCAGGTTTTCCGAGTCCCAAACCCAAAGTGATCTCTCAGCTGGAATGAGAAGAGCTGTAAGTCCCAGATCACCAGGGCTCTGAGCGAAGGGAGATCCCGAGAAGTATCTGCACAGGTGATAAATGGATTTAATGTATGCAGAAACTATCTGTCATTGATGTAAATAGCTGGGATTTCTGCAAAAGCCTTGTGAGCTCCCAATCCTGACTCATCTCTCCCAGGTCATGATTGTCCCCAGCAGGTGGTGTTACTCTCATGGCAGATATGCTTGGAAGTCCCTCTAGTGCCTGATTCAGTTTACACTGGAACACTTTTGGGCAATGCCCATAGAAGCATAGGACTGGAAGGGATCTCAGTACGCCATCTAGTCCAGTGATAGACTCATAGAAGATTAGGGTTGGAAAAGACCTCAGGAGGTCATCTAGTCTAACCCCCTGCTCAAAGCAGGACCAACCCCAACTAAATCATCCCAGCCAAGGCTTTGTCAAGCCGGGCCTTAAAAACCTCTAAGGAAGGAGATTCCACCACCTCCCTAGGTAACCCATTCCAGTGCTTCCCCACCCTCCTAGTGAAATAGTGTTTCCTAATATCCAGCCTAGACCTCCCCCACTGCAACTTGAGACCATTGCTCCTTGTTCTGTTCCCTGCACTCAAGGCAGGACTAAGTAATAACTTGATCATTCCTGACAGGTGTTTGTCTGACTTGTTCTTCAAAAAACCTAATCTAGCTCAGTATGCTAGAACCTATTCTTGACATCACAAACAGGGAATGCTTTTGCCCAGGAAAAATCAGGTAGTATATCTTCAATTGTTGGTAATGGGTAGTGACTTCTTTTAATGCCTTGATCAGTGGTTTTGGATTAATGCAGATCCTCAATTTACCTGAAGGTTTTCTCACCACTACTAGGCTGCTGATCCACTCGGTGCTAATTTCAATGAGTGTAATGATCCCTCTTCTTTGCAGTCTTGCCTGTTCCTTCTTCAGTGGCTGCCCCAGGGCTAATGCAACATTGCATTTTGGTAGTCTCGTTGAACTGCAGCTGAGGGTCTGTTTCTAACTTGAACATGCCCATTTCTTTGAAATATGTCTGTATATTCTGCTAGAATGCTGGACAAGTCACAGGGTGACTGTTCTCCCTCATCTCTCACATAGGCGCCGACTTCCCCTCTTTCCTGTGAGTGCTCGACCCACCCCCTCTAGCCCCAGCCCCGCCCCCACTCCACCCCTTCCCCCACCCCCATTCCAACCCCTTCCCCAAAGTTCCTGCCCCAACTCTGTTCCCTCCCTGCCAATATTCCAACTCCTTCCCAAATCCCCGCCTCCTCCCCTGAGCACGCCACATTCCCGCTCCTTCCCCCCGTCCCGGAGTGTGCTAATGCTGCCAAACAGCTGTTTGGCAGCGGCCGAGCGGGAAACGCTGGGAGATAGGTGGAGGAGCGGGGACGTGGCATGCTCGGGGGGGAGGAGGATGTGGGGCAGCGGGGAGGGGAGCGTGGCTGCCGGTTGGTGCAGAGCACAGACTAATTTTTCCCCATGGGTGCTCCAGCACCGGAGCACCCACGGAATTGGCGCCTGTGCTCTCTCACATGGAGGATGTTCTGGTGCTACACTGCGATCAGATCCATGGCTTGCACTGCCCTACTGCTCAGCAGCATGTGATACTCCTGTATATCAACCTTGAGAAGCATATAAGTAGGGGAAGCAAGAACTGAGTCTATATAAAGAGCTGACAATGGGGGATAAAGATGAGAAAAAGGTAAAACTCTATTAGCTCACTAGGAAAAAAGGATGAGAAGTGAGTGAGACGCTGTTGCTCAAAACACTGGATAAAGCTGATGAAGGTATTTGATGATCACTGTTAAAGGGCCAGAGAGGAGGGTTAGCGATGGGCTACAGAAGGGATCTGGAGAGGATAATGTTGGTCTGGGGAACTCGCCATGAAGCATGGCTTACTGTACAAAAGGAGCTGGGAACAGTGCCTGTGGGGGACTTGGCAAGAGAGGTTTAGGGAAGGACCGCCAATATAGGAAGTGGTCTGAGGAACGGGGGCAGCCATTTCATGGCTTTGGGTTACTAAGCTGGATCCCAGAGTGTAGGGAGGGCCCAGGCTTTCCTGCTCCTCCGACTGACCATCTGCAGGAAGTTAGCTACAAGGGGGAATTGTAGATTTTAGAAAATGGAACATGCACATGGTACAGGACACAAACATGGAAGCTTGGCACTATTCTGCTCCCTGTTAATCCTATCCGAGAGCCACTCCCACCCCCAGGTACAGCTCTCCCTCTGAAAACGTGGAGAGGTGAAATAAGAGGGCTGTGTTCCAGCAGGTGGGCTGCAGAAAGAATGACAGCCGCTAGATCAGGGGTGGGCAAACTATGTCCCGCAGGCCAGATCCAGCCCCTCAGGGCTTTGGATCCGGCCCAGGGGATTGCCCCCCGCGCCGCTCTCAGAAGAGGCCGGCACCATGTCCCTGCGGCCCCCGGCGGGGGGCAGAGGGCTCCATGCGTTGTCCTTGCCTCCAGGCACCGCCCCCCGCAGCTCCCATTGGCCGGGAACAGGGAACCACGGCCAATGGGAGCTTCAGAGGAGGTACCTGGAGACGCGGCAAGGGCAGCATACGTGGAGCCCTCCACTTCCCCTTCCCCAGGGGCCACAGCACTTCCTGGAGCTGCGCAGTGTGGGTCCGGGCAGGCATGCAGGG